AGTTTTAGAGTCGCGGAACTCGGCCTGCGAAGTTTCACGAGCGTCCGATAAGAAGGAACGAAAATGATATTAGAAATGGTTTACATGTTTACGTACGTAAGTTGGAGGGGGGGGGGGGTAGTTTGAGAGAAATGTGAAAAGGTAACTATTGTTTCGGGTCCATTTCGACAAGAGAAAACGAAAATGTCTTATGCCCGAAAACAATCGGAAACGAAATGGCAGAGGAATTCTCTCTGACATTAACAACTTGGTGGTTTCTGTTTCTGGCATTTTTGTCAGTTTGGGCACCAATAGCTTTGCCGTTTCGACTCTGATCGGCTCTGAGCATACGACATTTCCGTTTTAATTTTGCTAGGGCAATCTAAATCTGGGATTACATTTTTAATTTGGTATCTTTTAGTAAATTGCAATTTTTCAAATTTTTTATTGGAACACAAAATCATAGTGTTCACTCGTAGAACGACTATAAGTCATTTGATCTTACAAAAATACATTTTAAAAGCTTTATTAAGCTCACAACTTATTTTCCAACTTAGTGTATGAGCAGCCGTTCGAAATCAGAACGAAATATTGAAATCTTGAAGGCAAACAACAAATTGGATAACATCAAAGAACTGCTCTTGAAAGGGCAAAAATAGACATTCTTTGCCTTTGCGAAACCTGGCTTAGTGAGGAAGATACCCAATACTTTCATATCCCGGGATACAACCTGCACCATAATTCAAGAGAAGGTAAACGAGGAGGGATAGCCGATGGGTCCTAAGAACAAAGTCCGATCTCGCCGCGACCATTCAACAAAGTCCGGACTCGCCGCGACGGTTCAACAAAATCTGATCAGTCCGATGTCCTTTCTTGGAGTGTACGGAGATGAAAACTGATTCCGATAGAATAAAACATTCTGCATCTATTTGATTAAGACACTTTTCGTGAAATATAATCAGAAATGCCTGTAATCATTGAAAAACAAACTGTCCGATCTCATTTTGACACCGACGCTCCGTGGAACATAGTCCGAACTCCTCGCCGCGTCGCGCCGCTGCGCTCGCGCACGGAGGCATTTCCCTCGGTTCTAGCTCCCAAACCGTTAACGATAGATGGTTGGTGTAAGCGAGCCGATTGGACTCGAAGTATCAAGCTTCCCAACGCTGTAAATGTTATTTCGATACGACCATCACAGCCCGAACAGAGAGCCGGCAAAGATATAGCCTAGGGTGCTCGGCCCACAGCTTGCGAGGCGGCGCGGCCTGCCCGCGCGGCCGCCAAACAACAATGGGAGGACGATGGGGGATTTAAGCGAGTCGAATATGGGTTAAAGTTCAGGCTTTCAATCGCTCTAATTTTTTTCCCACTACGACCATTAGGTAGGTCTCGAATAGCTACCCGGCAAAGATTGCCTGGGGCTCCCGACCGTATAGTGGAGAGGCGCGCGAGGTTCAAAAGATTGGAAAACTTGGTCTCTAAGTTATGCCACTACTTTCACCTTACCTTCATTACTAATTGTGAGATGGAAAACAGTGACGTCACTTTTAAACTTCATAGGCCGAGGCTCATGGTAGAATGTACGCCCACGCCCAAGGGCCAAATCCGCGGTAAGATTAACACAATTCTAATTTTTTAAGACAAAACCGACCTCAAATAATTTAATTTTTGCATCCTTATATTCAGGAACGACTGAAGAATTATGGAACACTTTTACTTTTTAACATAAATTATCCGGTGATTTGTCGTTGGACCCTGAACTTTCAAAACGCGTTTACTCGGAACGCGCCGGTTATGAGATCGAACTCTGTTGAACGGTCGCGGCGAGATCGGGCTTTGTTGAACGGTCGCTGCGAGATCGGACTTTGTTGAACTGTCGCGGCGAGATCAGACTTTGTTGAACTGTCGCGGCGAGATCAGACTTTGTTGAACTGTCGCGGCGAGATCGTACTTTGTTCTTAGGACCCATCGTAGCTTGCTATGCGAAGGAGCTCATTCACACTACGAATGTCTCCTGCATTAATATAGGTGAAACTCAAGCCATCTCTCTAAAAATCAAAGGTGAGACTAATCAACTAGTCTTAGCTACCATCTACTCCCCCAATTTACATCAACATTGTGATTGCATAGATCTCATCACTGAAATTTTTAATAGTGGTGGCAATGCCAACCTGTTAATAGCAGGGGATATGAACATTGATATATTTAAAGACTCCCCACCAAAACAACTGTATCTGGACTGCCTTGCATCCCTGAATTGCCAGATTATTAACGATAACACCTGTACCAGACCAGCAAGCAAGAAAATACTGGATCACCTAATCATGAAAAAGGAAAGTCAAATTCTACAACTCCACAATTTAGAACATGAGCTGAGTGATCACAACGCATAAATGTGCACTGTGAATGTCAACATTGCAAAAACCAACCCCATCCGAAGGAGCCACAAGGAATTCAACCGCATTCAATACGCCAAAGCCAAAAATATTTTTCAGGAGTCTATGCAAGGAGTGAACAACCTGAACACCAATGAGCTCTCCTAGGTAATACATAGCAACCTCCAAGATAGCATCCTACAATCTACTCAGCAAAGGAACACAACTAATAAATCTGAAAGGAGAAACCCCTTGGTAAGCGATGAACTCTCTGCTAGCAAAAAGAAAAGCTGTCCTCTGGAGGCAAAAGAAGAAACATCCTGGCAATATCTACATTGAGGAAGATTACAGAAATATCTGCAACTACATCAACACTAAAGGAAAAATCCCAAAGGCTGAGTACTATACTTCAAGAATTAATAAATGCATCGAAGAGAAAAAAACAGTCTGGACCGTGATAAAGGAAGTTGCTAACACCTGCTCCTCACAACTGTCTTAACCAATTGCGATAAAAGAGGATAATACTACTTATGAAGCCCCTCTTGATATTGCTAAAGCATTAAATAGATTCTATGTAAGTATTGGTCCTCATCTGGCAGCAAAGCTTCCTATATCTAATTTTCCCTCAATCAAGTGCTCACCAGCTAATTCTATGTTACTCCACCCGGTGACTAGTCGAGACATCTGTGATATTATCTCTAGTCTTAAAAGTCAGTACTCTAGTCCTAATCTAAGAAATAACATGGTCCTGAAACAAATGGTTGAGGTTGTCCAAGAACCACTATCAAGGCTAGTGAATAAATCATTTGAGGAAGGTGTGTTCCCTGATGACTGCAAAATATCTGTTATTGTGACCTGCTATAAATGCGATGATAATGAAGACCCAGGAAATTACCGCCCTATCTTCATACTCTCTGCACTGTCAAGAAACGCTTGAGCTGGCTATGAAATCTAGACTAGAAATATATTTGTACAATACTGAAACCCTAAGCAAAGCTCAATATGGTTTTAGAGCTGACAAGGATATTAATGGTGCAGTCTTCGATCTCACAACCAAGATTCAAAGAACTTTAGATAAAAGTCGAGTATGCGCGTCAGTTTTCATTGACCTTAAAAATGCGTTTGATACGGTGGATCATGAGATCTTACTTTCTAAACTTGACAAAATTGGAATTAGAGGCACTGTAAATGACTTGTTTAGGACATACCTCAATGGCCGAATACAGAAAGTGCGAATCAAAGAAATTTTCAGCGACCTTCTTGATATATTATGTAGTGTCCCACAAGGCTCTATCTTGGGACCCATACTTTTCCTAATCTAAATTAATGATGTGGTCACCCTTGACCTTCATGGTGAACTCCAGCTGTTCGCCGATGATGCTGTCCCCTTCTATGAGGCAGCAAACCCTGAGTAGCTGGAGCATCTAATTAATGAAGATCTGGAAGCCCTCAATGTTTGGTTCTGCCAAAACAAACTAACCATTAACGCAAAGAAAACGAACTATGTCATCTTCAAATAAGCAGGCCCGTCCTTCCGCCAAGCGAAGTTGCCAGCTCCACTTCGCTGAGCCGGCAACTCCGTTCGGCAGGGGCCGGGCCTGCTTGGCCTTCCGGCGGCGATGGTCAGGCCTGCGGCCTGACCATTTCAGTCTCACGATTTACTAAAGAACACAATCAAATAAATAATGTGACCGGTAAATCATTTTGCATATTTGAGTAAACTAAGGCTTCCGGCGGCAGGCTGCGGCTTTGGAAATTTTGCTCCTTGGACATGACTAAAGACTGTACCGGGGCAACACCGTGACTACACCCCACCCTTCTGCTTTGCTTAAGAATTATAAAAAAAATGAAGCAGCGCAGTTTTTTGATTGTATGTTCGTAAAAATGTCTTAAAACTTGACTTTTTGCCATTCTTTTCAGTATATCCACCATTAGGGCCGTAACAATGAAAGATACAGGAAATCCGAGGGTAGTTCCTGATTCAGAATGTGTTATTTGCGGGGGGTACTTCCTCTGACATTTTACGATTAGACGCCTCCTTGTACGTCTTAATCTGCAACATGGCCATTAGGGTGGAGTGAAAATCTGGGACCGAAAAAGTACCCCTGGATTATAGTACTTCACGATATCCTAAGACTAGCGGCAGAGTCCATTTTGACCCATCGGCTGACCTTCAACCCCTCTTGAGGGGTCAAAGTTAGGTCTTTGAGGAAAATTGACACTTTTTGCCCCCCTGGGCCCGCCCTAGGCATAATCCCGGAAACGGCTATATGCGGTTCGGTGCGGAACTTATATAGGAAGATACACCAGGGTCGATACGCTGTGCGATAACATCATCAGCTCGCCTCAGTCGAAAATTTCGTCCGTTTGGCTCTATCTTGTACCGTTTAGGTGCTAGGGGGCATTTCTTGAGAAAAATGAGGTGAAAATGATCAAATGGCCGATTAAATCGTTAAAAAGACTTCATTTCGAAAAATTGTATGTACACTCCTATTACCCCGTCTCGGGTGTCAGCGCCGGAGGCCTATACATGTGCGCCAGGCGCGTCGCAGCGTAACAGTGTTTCGTGAGATACCGCGAAGCCTGTTACGCGAGACGTGGTCTGGCGTACATATAGCTTGTTATTTCTTCGGTTATAGATACCCTCGCGGGAGAGCAGTTCGTCATGTACGATTCATTCGAGGAGGATGACGGGGCCGGGGACGAAGACAGCAGAGTGATAGTATTCGGCACCAGGAGAAATCTCGAAATTTTGTTTAAGTGCATCATGTGGTTTCTTGATGGCACTTTAAAAACTGCTCCCCACATTTTTATGCAAATTTTCACAATCTTGGGACTTGTGGTGCGGTCTGGAGCCGACGCAGAAGATCCTGACACTGCTGTTGCTTTGCCGCTGGTCTTCGCCCTGCTACCATCAAAGATGGAGGTCCACTACACGCTCGTCCTCCAGAAAGTCAGGGAGGCCGCAGAGCGGTTCCGCATTCGGGCAACAAGTGGGCCGACCAAGATCATGACAGACTTTGAGTTAGGCATCATCAACGCAGCCCGAGCAGTGTTTCCCGAGGCTGTCATCCGCCTGTGCTTTTTCCACTTGGGCCAGTCGTCCTATCGGAAGGTGCAACATATTGGGCTCCAGGAGCAGTACAATGACCCCGAAGATCGCTCCATCAAGAACGCGGTCCACTCGCTGCTCGCCCTTGCCTTCCTGCCTGCGGACAGAGTTCTAGACGCCTTCGACGGCCTGGAGAGAGTGTCCCCCCCGAGCCACCGCCCCTTTGTTCCGGTACTTCGAGGAGACCTACCTGCCTGCGAGGTGGAACAACTACGAGGCGACGCTCGCAGACGAGCACCGCACCAATAACATCAGTGAGGGTTGGCACAACCGGTTCCAGGTGAGGGTGGGGAGGTAGTGGTAGGGGTTGGGTAATATTGACACATAAAATATTCTGTCCCTAAACTGCCAACAGCTGGTTATCGGGAAGAAGCACCCATCCCTGTATTCCTGCCTCCATGAGCTGCAAAAGGAGCAGGGGGACACTGAGACGGTGCTAACGGAGATGTGGCTCGGCCGCAAGATCAAGAACGCGCCCGAAAAGAAGTGAAGGGATCTGCAGCGCCGCATCCGGACGATCGTGCAGGACCTCGTAAACTACGAGGACGACAATGACTACCTTCGCACAATTGGACACCACTTCCAGCTTGAAACGCTTCAATTTGGAAATAAATTACAATTGAGTCTAAATGGTCATTGGGAAAAATGTTTTGGGCGAACATTATTGGGAAGACAAAATTGCCTTTTTGGCGTAATGCAGGAAAACGTTAAGAACTCAGCATGGGGGGTTCGATAAGCGTATGGCTCCACGTGTTCTTCCTCCTCTGTATTTTCACCATTAAAATACCACCATGGCGACAGTTGACTTTGAATGTTGACGTAAATAACCTACAATCTAGAATATGTTTTGCATTACTATTTGTCTCAGGATTGTTGATTTTACACTAACCTTAGATAGAGGAAAAGTGAAGTCAATGCCACCTGATTTGAAAAAAAGTAGCATGTCCAGTGGTGATTTCTCAGAGTGGCATAAGTCCGGGTGTGATTTGAATCCCTTATAAAACGAAATCATTCCGAAACTCGTCCGGGACTGTTCCAAAAGCAGTCCGATCGTCTCGGACACTCCCAAATATGTTTCAGGACAGTCCCACAGCAATCCGAGTCCGATACCGGACTGTCCGAAAGTAGCCCTCAGCACCCAGGACTGTCCGTAAAAAGTCCGATGCTACCGGACAGGCCCTTATAAGTCCGGTAGTCCGGTCCGGACCGTCCGAAGGCAGTCCGACTATCAACCCGGGTCGTCACAGGACGGTCTCGAGCTGTTTCAACACAAAAGACTTGTACATTTTTTGTGAAAATTGGCAAACTATATTCATACAATGTTTTTAATAAAATATGAAAATTTGTTTAATCCACCTACTACGCATATTCGACTTTCTGCTGAGAACTGAAAGCGCCAGGAAAATTATCGGACAAAATTTTATTTTATTTTGTGCGGGCAATTTGCCTCTTTAAATTTGAGTAAACTAAAAAGGCATATTTTATTTTGCAAAAAGGTCGTTCATCATGACCTAAACAACATTGCGTGCGATGCAAAAGCATTTGCCGAAAACCGCATGACTATGCGCTGATTTGTTCGTTGTGTACTGCGCTTGTCTCGGAAGAGATTCTGAGCCCAGCTAAAGAGGCTCTCCTGTTTCGTCTCTTCTCAGCCGGCAGCGTAGCTCTTTTGGTAAGAGCGTCGGTCAAGGGACCCGATGACCGACAGGTGAGGGACCGAATCCCGCTCGTCCAGCTTTTTTTAAATCCGGATGGACCATTCAGGCTAGTCCGAAAGACGTCCGGCACGGGCATCGGACAGCCCGAAAACTTGCTGATTTGACGTATTTTCGGTTGTATTCTCGGCAAGGTCCGGGATGTCGTCTTGTACTGTCCGAAAATCGGACTGATTTCGGTACAGAATATTTTTATAAGGAAAAGACTGGCGTATGTCCACAAACATGATTTTTGAAAAGGGCATATGTCCCGGTTGTGGTTTTTCTGAATGGCGTAAGTCCTCTGGATCCATGGACATATGCCATTCTGACAAATCACATCCGGACATATGCAGCTTTGGAAAATTCTCGTTTAGGACTTACGCCTGTCTGAAAAAATTACAACCGGACTTACTCTATATTGACAGGGGATATGTCAAATAACTCAGGTAGTATACAACTTTTATATTTATTTTTAGCCCGCCCTTCTGCTTTGAAAAAGCTATCCAGCGGGCTTATGCAAACGACCTCGTGTGTGTCTATGTGTCTGTCTGTGTGTCTGTCTGTTCCACTAGAAGGAGATGTGCTAGAGACTTGAAATTTTCAGGGTATCTTAAGGTCCACTCCAAGAGAACGAAAAGCCTACGGAAAATCCTGGCAACCACCCCTAAAGGGCTAAAAGGGGGTATTAAAGAAAATGGGGTAGGCCAAAGAAGTCAGAATTTTTTTGTCTTTATATGATCTCCGAAGGGCTAACTTGTCAGAGTAGAAACCTTTGGACGAAAATTACGTCCGTTTTGCTCTATCTTTTACCGTTTGGGCGCTAGAGGAAGTTTCTATCACGAAAGTGGCCCAAAAATAAATTTATTAATTTCCGAAAATATTGAATGGTCTCCTAAGGAGTAACTTGTCAAAGTAGAGCTCTTTGGACGAAACTTTCGTCCGTTTGGCTCTATCTCTAACCGTTTAGGCGCTAGAGGGTCTTGTTTGACGAAAATAAGTTAAAAATTGCTGTAGTGAACAATTAAATGTAAAAGAAGGCCCAAAACCGCAAAAGAGGTAAGAAACTCCCTCCCCCACCCCAAAAAACGTTTTCTAAGCAGAAGGGTGGGTTGTAGTCGCGGTGTTTCACCGTTACATCCCTTTCTCGTGTCTACGGGGCAAATTTTAAGGATGACGGGCTTTGAGGGCCGAAGGCCCGTTACATCATTTGATTATGTTCTACAGCAAATCGCGTGACAGAAATGGTCGGGCCGCAGGCTCGACCATCGCCGCCGGCAGGCCAAGCAGGCCCGGCCCCTGCCGAACGGAGTTGCCGGCGCAGCGAAGGGAAGCTGGCAACTTCGTTTGGCGGAAGGGTGGGCCTGCTTGTTTTAATCTATTGTTTCCTATTGCAAAACTGAGCTAGTTTAGGGCATTTGCTTTTCCATATTGTCTGAATCACAGACACAAATCATATCTCAAGAGCCGAAACATATTTCTGTCTAATTGTGTCATCACAAGCATTATTACTTATTTGTGTCTTAAAATGAATCCTCAAATACATGAGGACATACAGGGCAAACTAGACCACAGGAACTTGAACGTTTTCTGGTGGGATACTCCTTTAAGTTTTAAGCAGGATACCTTGCACTTTATCTTGAGAATATTCTTCTTTAACATGTTTCACGAGTCTTGGTTTGTAGACTTTATATTGTCTCTTGTTTGTCTTCAGGTTATTGCTCTTGCAAGCACCATTTCCCGAGCCACTTTTACCTTCACTTTCCAAGCCCTGCACATATATAACGTATTGAACCACCACTTTCATGGAAATTTTATATTGGAACAGGTTTATGGAAGCATACCTGAGAAACATCCATATCTGCTTTCTGTATTTCATTGAGAGAAGAATTGTATGGCGATCCCAAGAGGTGTGGGTTAAATGCAGCCACTAAATGTGTCACATCCACATGAATCAAACTGTCTTGACTGTAAAAAGTAAGGCATGTCTCTTTGGTATGAACAATACAACTATCTCACATTGAGCTATGTAAGAGAAGGGTTAAAATATGGAAATGGATTATCTTAACGAGTGAATTCTTATTTTCCTAAGATGATGATTGTGTCAAAAGAGATAGGTCTATCGTAAAGATGTAATCATTTACTGTGCAGGAACTCTAAGGTCAGGAGAACTTTTTGGAGGCACATAAAAATGTAACCAATAAATACAAAGAAGGAAAAAGCCAGACCAATTTTTCACACCTTTAAGCAATTATTACATCAAGTGCATCTCTTCTCAGAAGCACCTGCAGCTCCACTTCTGCTGGGACTTACATCCTTTTGGGATCCAGGGAAGTGTTGCAAAATTGACAGCTTCAGCAACACATGGGCCTTCCAAAGAAAATAAAGGTATCAACCTCAATATAATAGCACTTACATACACCATACACACTCAAAAAGAAAGGGAAGCATTATATTTACCACAGTTAAAAAGAAAATGAACTGTATCTGGTTTTAAAATTACCATTTCATATTTGTGCTGTACAGTGTGGTCATGAAAAGTTTTTTTGTATTTACGAAAAGAAACAGATTGCATTGCACTATTAAGGTGGCCCTAAAATGAAACTTGGAACCCATCACCCATCATTTCAGATTTTGCTGTTTTTTATGATGCCTGACTTTTCCTTAATGTAATTTGGAAGTTTAGTAATGCATTAAATACATTTTCATAGATTATAAACAAGTTTGAGTGACCATATACGAGTCGACTCATAAATGATGGGTACTGATGGGTTCCTCATAGAAGCACCCTTATGCCCGCAAAATTGTGAAAATGTGTTTATTGCATTACTAAACTTGCCAATTTAAATTTAGCAAACTTGGGCTGCATCGATAACGGCAAAATCTGAAGTGATGGGTGCTGGGTTCCGAGTTTCATTGGAGGGCCACCTTTACTATCACAAATGTGGAAATAACTGATTAAGGTGATACAGGACTGTAACTGGAAAAGTCCGTCAAAAAACAGTTATTGTGAGTTTAAAATCAAAATGCGGATTAAATCAAGAAAAAGCTCTCTATTTCATTCTAAGTTAGTTTATCGTGGTTCTTTTAAGGTTTAATAGGTCTATAATTAAACGTAACTGTGGGCGCAACACGTTTATCGAAGAAAAACAACGTTCACTCTAAAAAATAATACAGAATTCTGTATCAAATTTGATACAGAATTCTGTATCAGGCTCTTGTGATATGGAAACATGTAACATGGGTACCAAATTCTGTAATCTGATCAAAATGTTACAAAATACCGTAAATGTTACTAATTTCTGTAACAGATACAAGATTAAGCAATGGTGGATACAATTTTCTGTAAACCTGGATACAGAATTATGGAACTTCGTTGGCACGGTCTCCGGGAGCCCCGGTGGCATTACACCGGGTTCCAGCTAACTTCTCCTCAGGTAGCCTGGGTGGCCGCGCGGGTAAAGGCGCGACTTCCTAATCCAAGGGTCTGGGGTTCAACTCCCGGTGCGGCAAGGTACATTACGTAAAACAAAAATCGAAGGAGTTAAGTCCCCT